ACGTTTTTATGGGGGATCCCATGATTTCAAATGTCATACAGATGTCGAAGAATTTGAAAAATTAGAAGACTTTTGTGTAGTCACATACCTTCCCTCAGTGTTTAATAGCTGAGCAGGTCTTAATTAGCAACAAAAAACCCAAAAGCTTTGATCCTGTACATACCGAAGCCTTCCTCACCCAGTGGCTTGCCAATAACCATACAATAGTAGCTCACGGGGCTGCTATTGGGTGTGGGGGTGGAAGCAGGGCTTTTGAGGCAATTTTAAACATCTGTGTACATGTGAATATAATACATATCCATCACTGTAATATTAAGGTTCACAAAGGTTTGCTGTTAATGCTGACCCTATACACCCATGACATTTCCATTGCAGGACAGCTGATGTCAGATGTATAAGTAAGAGACTTTGGAATCATTGTTGCTAATTAGAGATGAGCGAATCGAAGTAGGCGAAGTGGAATTCGCTTTCGAAATATTAGAAAAATTTTGATTCGCGCCCGAATCCGAAAATAAGCAGACTTCGATGCGCGAATCGAAATTTTTCCTAAAATGGCGGCGACATGTGCGGCGACGGAGCGGGGATGTCTGGGGAAGGCGCGCAGACAAGGCGCGCTGACCCATAATGCATTCATTCATGACATGTGATCGCATTAGCCAATCAGCAGCCAGCCAGCCAGCACTGTGTAATGGTCGAGCTATAAATGGCGGCCATTTTAGAATTCTCCATTTGCCTCCAGTCATTCAACAGAGGCAGACCTGGCTGTATTCAGGGAGAGAGTTAGGGCTCGTTCTCACACTAGGGCTTTTTGCCAACGCTTGCCAAACGCCCCTATAGCGTTTGGCAAGCGTTGGTCCGGTGTTTGCGGAGCGTTTTTGACGCTCGGGCAAACGCTCCGCAAACGCCGCATGCGCGGTTTTAGCGGCGGTATGCTAGGCGTTTGCCGAGCGTTAATAACGCCCCACAAACGCCTATAATGCATTTGAGTGGTGTTACCGCTCCGCAAACACCCCGCAAAAAAAGAACCGCGTTGCCAACCGCACCGCAAACGCCGGCCGGGCGTTTGCGGAGCGGCACCATAGACGAGAATAGGAGGCTTCAAAGCCTCCTGACTCGACCAGAGGCGTCCGTTTTGCCGCGACGCAACGCGACGCGACGCAAACGCTCCTGTTAGAAAGACAGCACCATGTGCTGTAATGTGCAGAATTGGCAGAGGCGTTTGGGAAAGCGGTAAAAACGCTTCCCAAACGCCTCTCTGCCGCCTGCACACAAGGCTAGTGTGAACGTAGCCTTAGGGACACAGAAACGTTACTTAGGGACACAGAAACGTTACTTAGGGCCACAGAAACTTTACTTAGGGCCACAGAAACGTTACTTTGGGACACAGAAACGTTACTTAGGGCCACAGAATCGTTACTTAGGGCCACAGAAACGTTTATGCTTAGGGCACCACAGAAACGTTACTTAGGGCCACAGAATTGTTACTTAGGGACAGACACAGAATTGTTACTGAGGGCCACAGAACTGTTACTGAGGGCCACAGAACTGTTACTTAGGGCCACAGAAACGTTACTTAGGGCCACAGAAACGTTACTTAGGGCCACAGAATCGTTACTTAGGGCCACAGAATCGTTACTTAGGGCCACAGAAACGTTACTTAGGGCCACAGAATTGTTACTTAGGGACAGACACAGAATTGTTACTGAGGGACACAGAATTGTTACTGAGGGACACAGAACTGTTACTTAGGGCCACAGAACCGTTACTTAGGGCCACAGAATTGTTACTTAGGGACAGACACAGAATTGTTACTGAGGGACACAGAATTGTTACTGAGGCACACAGAATTGTTACTCAGGGACACAGAATTGTTACTGAGGGACACAAAATTGTTACTGAGGGCCACAGAATTGTTACTGAGGGCCACAGAACTGTTACTTAGGGCCACAGAAACGTTACTTAGGGCCACAGAATCGTTACTTAGGGCCACAGAAACGTTACTTAGGGCCACAGAAACGTTTTCAACTTAGGGCCACAGAATTGTTACTTAGGGACAGACACAGAATTGTTACTGAGGGACACAGAATTTTTTTGACTGAGGGACACAGAATTGTTACTGAGGGACACAGAATTGTTACTGAGGGACACAGAATTGTTACTCAGGGACAGACACATAATTGTTACTCAGGGACAGACACAGAATGTTACTGAGGGACACAGAATTGTTACTGAGGGACACAGAATTGTTACTCAGGGACACAGAATTGTTACTCAGCGACAGACACAGAATTGTTTATTCAGGGACAGACACAGAATTGTTACTCAGGGACAGACACAGAATTGTTACTGAGGGACACAGAATTGTTACTCAGGGACACAGAATGTTACTGAGGGACACAGAATTGTTACTCAGGGGACAGACACAGAATTGTTACTCAGGGACAGACACAGAATTGTTACTGAGGGACACAGAATTGTTACTCAGCGACAGACACAGAATTGTTACTCAGGGACAGACACAGAATTGTTACTGAGGGGACACAGAATTGTTACTCATGGACACAGAATTGTTACTCAGGGACACAGAATTGTTACTGAGGGACACAGAATTGTTACTGAGGGGACACAGAATTGTTACTCAGGGGACAGACACAGAATTGTTACTCAGGGACACAGAATCGTTTAATTAAAAGAGTATGTCAGACAACATGCATAGGAGTTGGAGGAGGCAATGTTTTAGGAGCGAGCAGGACGTGGCAGCAGAGGAAGGGGTCGAGGCAAGCACTAGTCGCAGCCAGAGGCCAGTGCTGCCCGGTGTCATCCAGCGGTCGTGTCTCCACCGACAAACCCTGCCGTCATCGATTGGTTGGCTCGGTCGTCTTCCTCTTCCCAGGTCACCTCTGACACCTACAGCCAACGGTCGGTGGGTACGTCAGACACACAACCGTTAGTTGGCATGGCCCGGGAGCAAGCCCACTGAAAACACGTGTCCTCGACCTGCCCCTGTCCTTTGGTGTTCCCTCACCAAGCGAAGTATCGTATGCTGTGGGCTCAGCCCCACTGTACAGTGAGGAAGAGCTAACAGAGGGCGGTCAGGAAACGGGGGGAGACATCCGCCTCTTCAGCAGCCAGGCGAAGAAGTAGTGGCGAGGAGAGTGGCTCGGTAGCTGGTCTAGAGACAGGTCTGTCTCCTGACCCACACGCAGCCGAGGGGGCTAGTAGTGAGGGCGGAGAGACCCTAATTGATGATGATGAGGCTGATCGCACTTGGCAGCCTCGTCGTCATCAGGCTATTGCTTCCGCATCATCAGGAGAAGAGGGTGGCAGCTTGGCAGCGAGCAAAAACAGTCGGTGGGTTGCCCAGGAGGCAGCAGGGTCGCAGCAGTGTCAGTGGAGGCAAACGGCCACGGAGTACAGCACCAGCTCCACTGCAGCCTACCACCACGGCCAGTAGTGGTGCCGGTGTGCACGGAGGAAGCAGCAGTCAGCCAGTGAGGAGTATCGGGGGCAAAGTTTCCTACTCGGCGGTTGTGGCAATTTTTGGTCAAGCCGCCGAGGAAGTAAACGTAGCCGTATGTCGACTATGTGGCCAGAAAGTCAAGCGTGGCCAGGGGGCCCATGTTGGGACTACAGCGTTGCGGCCAGCATATGCAGCGTCGCCATTTGGTGGCCTGGGAAAACCGTGATAAGATACGGCGGTTCTGCTGCCCCAGCCCAGGGTTCCATTTTGTCATAGGGTGCTGGCAGATTACGGGCCTCCCATAGCTGCTGCCAGGCCCCTAATCTGCCATGGGCCCCTGTACCGCCTCCTCATGCTGCTGCCAGGTCCACAGTGTCTCTTGCCATGTGCCACTTTCAGGTCTCCTCACACACTGCTGGTGTGTTCCATTTTTTGTTCATAGGGTGCTGGCAGATTACGGGCCTCCCATAGCTGCTGCCAGGCCCCTAATCTGCCATGGGCCCCTATATACCGCCTCCTCATGCTGCTGCCAGGTCCAGAGTCTCTCATGGGTCCCTGTACGGCCTCCCAATTGCTGCTGTCTCCATCGCCACACTCTGCCATGTGCCACTTTCAGGTCTCTTCACACACTGCTGGTGTGTTCCATTTTTTGTCATAGGGTGCTGGCAGATTACGGGGCCTCCTATAGCTGCTGCCAGGCCCCTAATCTGCCATGGGCCCCTGTACCGCCTCCTCATGCTGCTGCCAGGTCCACAGTGGTCTCATGCCATGTGCCACTTTCAGGTCTCCTCACACTGCTGGTGTGTTCCATTTTTTTGTCATAGGGTGCTGGCAGATTACGGGCCTCCCATAGCTGCTGCCAGGCCCCTAATCTGCCATGGGCCCCTATACCGCCTCCTCATGCTGCTGCCAGGTCCAGAGTCTCTCATGGGTCCTGTACGGCCTCCCATTGCTGCTGTCTCCATCGCCACACTCTGCCATGTGCCACTTTCAGGTCTCCTCACACTGCTGGTGTGATTTCCATTTTTTGTCATAGGGTGCTTGGCAGATTACGGGCGTCCCATAGCTGCTGCCAGGCCCCTAATCTGCCATGGGCCCCTGTACTGCCCCTCATGCTGTGCCAGGTTCCACAGTGTCTCATTTGCCATTGTGCCACTTTCAGGTCTCCTCACACTGCTGGTGTGTTCCATTTTTTGTCATAGGGTGGGGCCCCGTGGCAGATTACGGGCCTCCCATAGCTGCTGCCAGGCCCCTAATCTGCCATGGGCCCCTATACCGCCTCCTCATGCTGCTGCAGGTCCAGGAGTCTCTCATGGGTCCCTGTACGGCCTCCCATTGTCTGCTGTCTCCATCGCCACACTTGCCATGTTATTGCCATGTGCCACTTTCAGGTCTCCTCACACTGTGGTGTGTTCCATTTTTTGTGCAGTAGGGGTGCTGGCAGATTACGGGCCTCCCATAGCTGCTGCCAGGCCCCTAATCTGCCACTGGGCCCCTATTACCGCCTCCTCATGCTGCTGCCAGGTCCAGAGTCTCTCATGGGTCCCTGTACGGCCTCCCATTGCTGCTGTCTCCATCGCCACACTCTGCCATGTGCCACTTTCAGGCTCTCCTCACACTGCTGGTGTGTTCCATTTTTTGTATAGGGTGCTGGCAGATTACGGGCCTCCCATTAGCTGCTGCCAGGCCCCTAATCTGCCATGGGCCCCTGTGCTATCCGACTCCTCATGCTGCTGCCAGGTCCACAGTGTCTCATGCCATGTGCCACTTTCAGGTCTCCCTCACACTGCTGGTGTCGGTTCCATTTTTTGTCATAGGGTGCTGGCAGAATACGGGGCCTCCCATAGCTGCTGCCCTGGCCCCTAATCTGCCATGGGCCCCGTATACCGCCTCCTCATGCATGCTGCCAGGTCAGAGTCTCTCCACTGGTCCACCTGTACGGCCTGGCCATTGCTGCTGTCTCCATCGCCACACTCTGCCCATGTGCCACTTTAAGGTCTCCCTCACAATGCTGGTGTGTTCCATTTTTTGTCATGATAGGGTGCTGGCAGATTACTGGCCTCCCATAGCTGCTGCCAGGCCCACTAATCTGCCATGGGCCCCTATATGCCGCCTCCTCATGCTGCTGCCAGGTCCAGAGTCTCTCATGGGTCCCTGTACGGCCTCCATTTGCTGCTGTCTCCATCGCCACACTCTGCCATGTGCCACTTTCAGGTCTCCTCACACTGCTGGTGTGTTCCATTTTTTGTCATAGGGTGCTGGCAGATTACGGGCCTCCCATAGCTGCTGCCAGGCCCCTAATCTGCCATGGGCCCCTATACCGCCTCCTCATGCTGCTGCCAGGTCCAGAGTCTCTCATGGGTCCCTGTACGGCCTCCCATTGCTGCTGTACTCCATCGCCACACTCTGCCATGTGCCCACTTTTCAGGTCTCCTCACACTGCTGGTGTGTTCCAATTTTTTGTCATAGGGTGCTGGCAGATTACGGGCCTCCATTGCTGCTGCCAGGCCCCTAATCTGCCATGGGCCCCTGTACCGCCTCCTCATGCTGCTGCTGCCAGGTCCACAGTGCTCTCATGCCACACTGTGCCACTTTCAGGTTCTCTCACACTGCTGGTGTGTTCCATTTTTTGTCATTGGGTGCTGGCCAGAATACGGGCCTCCCATAGCTTGCTGCCAGGCCCCTAATCTGCCATGGGTCCCCTTATACTGCCTCCTCATGCTGCTCTTGCCAGGTCAGAGTCTCTCATGGGTCCCTGTACGGCCTCCCATTGCTGCTGTCTCCATCGCCACTCTGCCATGTGCCACTTTCAGGTCTCCTCCACATGCTGGGTGTTGTTCCATTTTTTGTCATTAGGGTGCTGGCAGCGGATTACGGGCCTATCCCATAGCTGCTGCCAGGCCCCTAATCTGCCATGGGCCCCTATACCGCCTCTCATGCTGCCCAGGTCCAGAGTCTCTCATGGGGTCCTGTACGGCCTCCCATTGCTGCTGTCTCCATCGCCACACTCTGCCATGTGCCACTTTCAGGTCTCCTCACACTGCTGGTGTGTGTTCCATTTTTTTGTCATAGGGTGCTGGCAGATTAGCGGGCCTCCCATAGCTGCTGCCAGGCCCCTAATCTGTCCATGGGCCCCTGTACCGCCCCACCCCTCCCCCAAGCCCTAAGAGTCTGCCTGGGTCCACTGTACGCCTCTACATTGCTTGCTGTCCAGGTCCACAGTGTCTCATGCCATGTGCCACTTTTCAGGTCTCCTCACATGCTGGTTGTGTTCCATTTTTTGTCAATAGGGTGCTGGCAGAATACGGGCCTCCCAAGCTGCTGCCAGGCCCCTAATCTGCCATGGGCCCCTATACCGCCTCCTCATTGCTGCTGCCAGGTCCAGAGTCTCTTCTATGGGTCACTGTACGGCCTCCCATTGCTGCTGTCTCCATCGCCTCACACTCTGCCATGTGCCACTTTCAGGTCTCCTCACACTGCTGGTGTTTGTGTGTTCCATTTTTTGTGTATAGGGTGCTGGCAGATTACGGGCCTCCCATAGCTGCTGCCAGGCCCCTAATCTGCCATGGGCCCCATATACCGCCTCCTCATGCTGCTGCCAGGTCCAGAGTCTCTCATGGGTAGTCCCTGTACGGCCTCCCATTGCTGCTGTCTCATCGCCACACTCTGCCATGTGCCACTTTCAGGTCTCCTCACACTGCTGGTGGTGTTCCATTTTTGTCATAGGGTGCTGGCAGATTACGGGCGTCCCATTGCTGCTGCCAGGCCCCTAATCTGCCATGGGCCCCTGTACGCCTCCTCATGTGCTGCTGCAGGTCCACAGTTGCTGCTGATTCTCATTCGCCATGTGCCACTTTCAGGTCTCCTCACACTGCTGGTTGTGTTCCATTTTTTGTCATAGGGTGCTGGCAGATTACGGGCCTCTCCCATAGGCTGCTGCCAGGCCCCTAATCTGCCATGGGGTCCCACGTGTACCGCCTCCTCTCTTCATGCTGCTGCCAGGTCCTCAGTGTCTGTCATGCAGCTGCTGTCTCATTAGTAACACTAAATAGCCATGTGCCACTTTCAGGTCTCCTCACACTGCTGGTGTGTTTCCATTTTTTGTCATAGGGTGCTGGCAGAATACGGGCCTCCCATAGCTGCTGCCAGGACCCTAATCTGCCATGGGCCCTATATACCGCCTCCTCATGCTGCTGCCAGGTCCAGAGCTCTCTCATGGGTCCCTGTACGGCCTCCCATTGCTGCTGTCTCCATCGCCACACTCTGCCATGTGCCACTTTCAGGTCTCCTCGCACATGTGCTGGTGCTGTTCCATTTTTTGTCATAGGGTGCTGGCAGATTACGGGCCTCCCCATAGCTGCTGCCAGGCCCTAATCTGCCATGGGCCCCCCCCCCATACCGCCTCCTCATACTGCTGACCGAGGTCCAGAGTCTCTCATGGGTCCCTGTACGGCCTCCCATTGCTGCTGTCTCTCCATCGCCACACTCTGCCATGTGCCACTTTCAGGTCTCCTCACACTGCTGGTGTGTTCCATTTTTTTGTCATAGGGTGCTGGCAGATTAACGGGCGGGTCCTCGCATTAGCTGCTGCCCAGGCCCCTAATCTGCCATGGGCCCGATGTACCGCCTCACTCTCATGCTGCTGCCAGGTCCACAGTGTCTCATGCCATGTGGCCACTTTCAGGTCTCCTCACACTGCTGGTGTGTTACATTTTTTGTCTTAGGGTGCTGGCAGATTATGGGCCTCCCATTGCTGCTGCCAGGCCCGTAATCTGCCATGGGCCCCCTCGTACCGACTCCTCATGCTGTGTGACGTTGCAACAAGGTGGAATTCAACCCTAACATATGTTAGACCGCCTTTACGAACAGCGAAAGGCTCATTCACAGATTTCCTGATGTTACAAGCGGATAAAGGTATCCCTGTGTAACTTAGATGTCAGCCATTGGCAGCTCATGCGTGGACACCTGCGCTTGCTCAGGCCCTTTGAGGAGGCCACGCTATTCTGTGAGTCGGCAGGACTATGGGCCATGTTACGACGACGTCATTTCCTCTGTTGCACGTCCTGGAACAAATGCTTGTTAACAATGGCTGGGTCAGGGTTTGCGGTAGACGTGGCGCACAGATTCTCAAACGCCACATGACCCCTGTGGGGGCAGGACAGGAAGAAGAGGAGGAGGTAGAGGGAGGACATTGGTGTTGCTCAGGAATTATTGGAGTGAAATGGGTGGTTTTTTTCCACTCAGCGGACAGGAGTGGAGGAGCAGGAGCATCTGGTTGAGAGGAGGAGGAGGAGGAGACAGAGGACCCAGAACGCACCGTGGCAGTATGCTGTGGAGATGGAGGCAAATTTTTTTGGGAGTCCCTCGCATTCCTTGGCACAAAAGTGGCCCGATAGCATGCTCGGGTTGCTTGCGTAGCGACAGCCGAATAATTTAAAACCATCAGACAGAGGGATGACTTTTGGCTGTCCACCTTGTTGGACCCTCGCTTACCGTTCAAAAATGGTGGCTTTTTCACACCTGCTGAGAGGGAGGCCAAAATAACGTACTATAAAAAACCACTATGTAGTCAGGCTGGTCTCTGCCTTTCTGCGCCAACGTCCATCCTCAGACACTGTGGGGCCCTGTGCGCTCGCGTTCCGCTGCCATGGCAGCAGGGGTAGGGGTGGGGTGGGGTAGGAGCAGTGGGCAGCTCCGACCAGCAGCGGGGCTGCCTCAGTCTGCAGTCGATGATGAGTAGCTTTCTTCACCAGCGCAGTGAGGAAACTACTAACCAGCCGCCAGCAGCATGCAGCATCAGGTGGACCTGGAGCAGGACCTCAAACAACAGGCTTAGGGCCTACTTGGACAGCACCCTGCCAACCGAGGTAGACAATCCCCTTGACTACTGGGCAACGAAACTTGACCTTTGGCCCCAACTAGCTGAATTTACCCTTGAAAGGCTTGTCATGCCCGGCCAGTAGCGTGGCATCGGAGCGCGTGGTTTAGTGCGGCAGGAGGTATTGTAACTCCGCGGAGGACACGACTGTCCACCCAAAGTGTGGAGAGACTCACGTTTGTGAAAATGAATCAGGCTCGTGGATTAGTCTGGATTTCAAACCAACAAGTTCCTGACACAACTGACTAAATCCGCCATGAATCATGCCCAAACAGGTTGTGCCACTTTCAGGTCACCTCACACTGCTGGTGTGTTCCATTTTTTGTCATAGGGTGCTGGCAGATTACGGGCCTCACATTGCTGCTGCCAGGCCCGTAATCTGCTCGATGGGCCCTGTACCAGCCTCCTCATGAGCTGCTTGCCTGGTCCAGAGTGAGTGTTCATGGGTCCTGTATACGGCGCTCCATTGCTGCTGTCTCCATCGCCACAGCTCTGCCATGTGCGCACTTTCAGGTACTCCTCACACTGCTGGTGGGTTCCATTTTTTGATATAGGGTGCTGGCAGATTACGGGCCTCCCATAGCTGCTGCCAGGCCCCTAATTATGCCATGGGCCCCTGTACCGCCTCCTCATGCTGCTGCTCCAGGTCCAGAGTCTCTCATGGTCCCTGTGTACGGCCTCCCATTGCTGCTGTCTCCATCGCCAACACTCTGCCATGTGCCACTTTCAGGTCTCCTCACACTTAGCTGGTGTAGTTCCATTTTTTGCGTCATAGGGTGCTGGCAGATTACGGGCCTCCCATTGCTGCTGCCTAGGCCCGTAATCTGCCATGGGCCCCGTACCGATCCTCATGCTGCTGCCAGGCCCCGTAATCTGTCATGGGCCCCTGTTGTTGCTTGTTGGCATATTCCGCTCGTTCAGTTGCTCCTTCTCCTGCTACTCCTTCTCACGGATTCCGTCAGGCAGTCTTTCTTGGAATTCCGTTTCCAAGAGACAAACAGTTTGCGAGCACGCACCCGACGGCGTTTGCAGAAGCTGAAGCTGACGTCCTCCTGTCCAAGTTGCTGCTGCTAGGCTCGTAATCTGTCATGCGCCCCCCAGACTACCAACTCCTTATTGCTGCTGCCAGGCCGTTAATCTGTCATGGGCCCCTGACACTGTACCGCCTCCTCATGCTGCTGCCACAGGTCCAGAGTGTGTCATGGGTCCCTGTACGGCCTCCCATTGCTGCTGTCTCCATCGCCACACTCTGCCATGTGCCACTTTCAGGTTCCACTCCTCACACTGCTGGTGGGTTCCATTTTGTCATAGGGTGCTGTGATATTTGGCCTCCCATTGCTGCTGCCATCCACCGCCACACTGTGGCTCCACACTCTGGTTTTGGGCCCGTGACTGCCCAAATGAGTGAAGTGTGCGGTGATTCTAAGATCGACGGCACTCATCTGCATGTCATACTGACTGTCAGTATTATTTCTCTTCCCCAGCAGGGACTCCAAGGGCATATTTAAATTAAAGGTACAGTGTTCTGCACTATATATAAAGGCTCTCTGATAAGCCTAGAAACACCACCTTTTATAAGTTAAATTCGCAGCGAATAGTATTCGACTCGAATCGAAATTTTTTCACGAATTCGCCGAATCAGTCGAATCAATTTTTTGAATAATTCGCTCATCTCTATTGCTAATCATAGATGCCCTTTGCAGTTTGTGAAGGTGAATTTGCTTAGCTGTCTTATCAGTGTAGATGTATTGTCCTCAGAGCTTCTGGTCATGTTGGCCAGCAATGAAATTACACTATATGCCTAATACAGTCCATAATTATGTCAGAGTATAAAATATCTTGATGATCATTACAAATGCTATTTTTTTTACCTCAGTACTAGACCCCCTTTTTCAGCACTTGCTTGCTTGTGGCGGTGGAAGGGGTGGGAGGATTTAGAAATTACACTAGAGTCCTGAGATCTGAGATGCTGAAAAATATTGAGGAAGCTACTGAGGACAGAGCAGTTAGCTAGGAAATTAATGTTAAAAATGAATTATCTGCACTGATGCCCCCCCTCTTCAATAACAACTGTCCGCAGCACTGGTCCCTAGTAATGTTCTAGTTGTTCTTACAGCTCTCCTGCTACTTGTCCTTGATATAGACATACTTTATGTTACGATCAATGACAGAGAAGTCACTGAGGGACCCCATCTAAATTTTATTTATATCGTGTGGCCCCACAATCTGTGGTTACACCCCTGCCTTCACCTGCTGTATTTGACAATCATGGTGATGTAAAAGCAGGAGTATACACAGCATGACTCTGACAAACACTAAACATAAAGCCCGATTCCAGTCAATACTTTGTATTTTGTTTTGGCCAGAGCAGGGAAGAGAACCTCTAAAACTCTAGTGTTTCCAAACGACTTGGAGGTTTATTGACGACCTTTCATATGCAATGAATCTCCTGCCTTTTTGAAAACACTGCATGGACCCACAGATGATGTTTTCCATGTTGCATTCAGATATACAAGGCTGTGGAGTCAATGGTGATCCAAAGGTGGATATGACCTGGGACCTGAAGGCAGCAAGTCTTTCACTGCTGGTATAAAAATTAGAACCTTGGTCAGATTTTTCACATTATTTCTATATCTTATTTAACCACTTTATGTCCACACACCTTTACCCCCTTCCTGTCCAGGCCAATTTTCAGCTTTCAGTGCTGTCACACTTTAAATGACAATTGCGCGGTCATGCAACACTGTACCCATATGAATTTTTTAGCATCTTTTTGAGACATATAAAACTTTATTTTGGTGGTATTTATTCACCACTGGCATTTTTATCTTTTTTGCTATGTGACTGAAAAAGTCCAAACATTTTGAAAAAAGTGTTTTTTTTTTTACATTTTTATGGGGTTTTTTAATATTATTATTTATGTTTTTTTTTTAACATACTGTCACCCTAGCAGTACAGTGTCACCATAGTGACACTGTACTGCTTGTTGGGGGTTGACAAAGATTTTTTTTTTTACACTGATTGCTTTTACACCCATAACGGCTGTAAAAGCAATCATTTCTCTTTCTCTCTGGCTGCATTCTTGCAGCAACTGAGAAATACTGTGTGAGCTGTGATTGGTCACAGCTTGTCACATGGTACAAGGCTGTTGTGAAAAGCCTTGTACCATGTGATCTCTATGATCATTCACAGATTTCACACATAGTAAGCAATGATGTCAGAAGTGACATCTTGCTTACACCTATTCGTGTGATCACTGATTGGCCAATCAGTGATCACATGATCAGGACCTCACACAGAGGTCCCGTACAGTGATCGGTGTTCGGTGCCGGTTGCTCCCAGGAAGACTGCACACTCCAAAATGGTGGGCTCGGTTTATGAACGGCAACCCGCCCCCTGCACTGCCACCGTCCGGCCGTTTATATACAACGGCTGGACGGGAAGTGGTTAATTTGTGTCCCTATTGGGAAGATTCTCTTTCCTTTCCTATCAGGACAAAGAAGTGACAGGCATTCTCTCCTACAGAGAAAAATAAATAGAAACAAAAACTAATTTTTAGTAGAGCGAGGAAAGCCTGAACATTTTTTTATTGCTGCCTTTGCTTTTTTGACCCAGTGACCACTGCACCCCCATTTCTTTTTCTGGTGTTTCAGAAACAGAAAATAAGAAAAAAGTTCCCTAGTGGCAAAAAGAAATACAAAACTTATAGCATTTAAACTCCTCTGTATGCTGTCTAAAGCTAAAACGAACATATGGCTGGAGCTAGGAGGGCAAGTACAGTTGAAGTTGGAACAGACAACAAAGTGTGTCGCTAAGGAGATCAGTTAATTTACATTACTTGCATATTATCAGTCCTCCCAGCATCAGAAACTGAGACAAAACTATGATTATATATTATATTTAGAGATCCCTACAGCTCTGCCCTGCTGTTAGAAGTTGTAAAAACTCTTTTTTTTTTTTAGAATTAAGCTTTTTTGTCCAGATGGTATTAATCATAGACAGTCACTCACAAATTATATCCAGAAACCTCTGATAAAAGCTGCTCTTGCAATTTGTATAGGGGTTTGATTCTAATGTAACGCCTTCCAGATTAGTCAGATAGTTTTTTTGTTAGATAAGAGGCTGAGTAGCAGTCTGTGGATGAGTAAGCTTGGGAGTAAAGCAGTGAGTTCATCTTAGGACAGGCTGGGAGGCTCTAACAGGCCAGGGCTTCTGGAGCCCTCCCACCCTTCCAGAGAAACTTTCCAGAAGAGGGGCGGAGGCCCAGATCTGCATGTTTGAGGGACCTTGGCCAATTCCCTGAGGAGGTACACTAGAAAAAGTCTTTGGAGCTCTTCAAGGAAACTGTTGGTATCTGCATTTTTGTACATAGTTGCTAAGGAGTTTATCTTTAATTTCTGCAGTTCCTCGGGCATCCCACATACCTCTAGACCCCATCCAGGTTCTTAACCCATTTATAAAATCACAAAACCAAACTCAAGGTCTACAAGTGAATAAAGGTGTTGCGCTGCTCGAAATCAATAATGATGTAAAATGAACAATAAAATTATCAAAAGACAATTCCAACGTGACTAAGTCCACACAAATAACAGTGACAAAAACTCATCAAGAAATCCAGATGGAGAAGAGCATCTTCCTACGGATGATTGCACCCAAAATCCCAGGGCTGTAAATCCTCAATACAAGTGCATCACCACAGTGACCATAGAGATCCAGGTGGAATCTCACCTTGTTGCATGGCATTTTGGTCCTGTCCAATGATCAGACCCTTCTGAAACAGAGTCAGAGAAATTTACCAAAATTACAGACTTTGCTGTTCTTGATGATCTGACCCCTTTTTTTTAACTACACAAGTCAAATATACCCACCCAAACATACAAACTATCTCACCTTCATCACCTCCTAAATGTTGCCAAATCCTCCATACCTCTCTAATGGAAAGACTCTTAGGAGGTAGAAGATATAATATGAATGGAAGATCCAATTCTCTCCTCCCAAAAAATAAATTAAATGTTTACTACAAAACATGGTATTGCTGGAATGAATTACCACTCTTGGATGAAGGTGAAGTCCTCCTCTCCAGTTTTCAGTCCCCCTTTCCCTTCTAACACACACCTTCACCTTTTCCCCTACATCATCCTCTTCTTCACCTAACTCACCCCATCCAACCTACCAACTAACCACCCCCTTCTCCAACTTCATGCCTCAATCCCCCCCCTCCCGCCCTCTATTTCAAACTCCTTCCATGGCTTTCATCTTCTCTCCCCTACAATGATCCTTGTTTGCCCTCTCTTTACCTTTGTACTCCCCCCTCTCCTTACCCTTTTTCACTCCCCTCAAACTGCCCTCCACTTTCTTACCTGATACTCATAGTGAAAACAGACCCAGAATTTAATTCCCCTCTCTTCAACCCTGATAGACTCAGTTTCAAGTAATAATATAGAAACCCTAATTAGATGTAAGATGAGACCAAATTGAGAATGTCTTTTTTTTACAATAGTTTTCATTAAAGTAGAACTATAGGCAAATCTTGTTTGCCATCTGTGTCCTATTGCAAAGATTTCCCTTCACTTCCTGTCCCATAGTCAAAACAGTCAAATAATTATTGATTAGCCCTGTTAGATTTTTACCAATCTAATCATATTTCTGTAGCATTGATTATGTACAGTTGTATTCAAAATAATAGCAGTCAGACATCACTAACCTGATCAATCACTGTTTTTGGTAGAAATGATATTTCTACATGGCAAATAATTTACTAGCAGCTGTAGTAAAGTAATAGAAATCCAACAGACCCAACAGTCATGACATGCATGCTGCTGATTCTGTGTAATTGAATCACTAATTGAAAGGGCATGTTCAAAATAATAGCAGTGTGGAGTTCTATTAGTGAGGTCATTCTCGCTTTGAAAAAACAGGTGGCAAGTATTGCCCTTATTTAAGGAAGAAAGGCAGCAAATGTTGTACATGCTGGTTACAGTGCATTTCTCTCTGAAATTCTGAGGAAAATAGGTCGTTCCAGACATTGTTCAGAAGAACAGCGTACCTTGATTAAAAAGATGTTTGGAGAGGGGAAAACATATAAAGAAGTGCAGAAAATGATAGGCTGCTCAGCTAAAATGATCGCAAATGCTTTAAAATGGCAACCAAAACCTGAAAGACGTGGAAGAAAGCGAAAAACAACCATTCGAAAGGATAGAAGAATAGCCAAAAATGGCAAGGACTCAGCCAACTATCAGCTGCAGGAAGATCAAAGAAGGTCTCCTGTGAGTCACTGTTACAAAAAAACTCTAGAAGACGCCTAGCTATCTGCTAGAAGTCCCCGCAAAGTCCCACTGTTGAAAAAAAGACATGTGCTAAAGAGGTTACAATTTGCTAAAGAGCACGTTGACTGGCCTAAAGAGAAATGGCGCAACATTTTGTGGACTGATGAAATTAAGATTGTTCTTTTTGGGTCTAGTGGCCGGAGACAGTTTGTCAGACGACCCCCAAACACTGAATTCAAGCCCACAGTACACTGTGAAGACAGTAAAGCATGGTTGCGCAAGCATCATGATATGGGGATGTTTCTCATACTACGGTGTTGGAGCTATTTATCGCATACCAGGGATCCCATGGATCAGTTTGAATACATCAGAATACTTGAAGAGGTCATGCTGCCTTATGCTGAAGAAGAAATGCCCTTGAAATGAGTGTTTATCAACAAGACAACGACCCCAAACACACCAGTAAACGTGCAACATCTTGGTTCCAGACCAACAAGATTGACGTTATGGAGTGGCCAGCCCAATCTCCAGATCTTAATCCAATAGAAAACTTGTGGGGTGACATCAAAAATGCAGTTGTTCTGAGGCAAAACCAAGAAATAGAGAAAACTGTGGAATGTAGTCCAATCATCCTGGGTTCTGGAATACCTACAGTTGTGTCCAAAAATATTCAACCCCCAATGCTGTAAAGGGGTTTAGGGACTATACCTGTACAATTGGAAAGACTCTTAGGTAATGTACATTTGGAATTGATATCAAATCCTACAAGGACGTTGTAAAAAATACCCAAATGCAACTAAAATGACATCAATTGTTTATGTAATACAGTAGTAAATGGTTCTTATTTGGTTTCTTCATTGCCACAATTATTCAACCCCTTAAAGACTACCACTTCTGAAGAACAGAGGTTCATACAGGTGCTTTCCATCAGGTATTGAAAACACCTGTGGATGTCACCGAGCAGCAATCAAGCATAATAAGCACCAATTAGGCAGCTTTAAAATGACTGTGATACTCAGCTCCTTCTAGACATTTACTGTGTGGTTACAAACATTTGAAGGCAAGAGAATGGTCCAGGAAGACAGAGAAGAGGTGATTTCCCTCTCTCACAACCCTGAAGGGCAATGGCTATAAGAAGATTGCAAAGATGTTAAACTTTTTTTTACAATAGTTTTTCATAGAGACACCTTAGAAGCATCATTCGCAAATTCAAGGCAAAGGGCACTGTTGAAAGATTTCGCTACCTGGTCGTGGCAGAGTCAAAGAAGATGCTGACTTCGACTGCTGTGCGTACCTGAAGCGTAGAGTGGAGAGAAGTCCCCGTGTGACTGCTGAGGAACTGAGAAAAGATTTGTCAGATTGGGTACAGAAGATTCAGCCCAGACAATAATTTACGCACACTGCGTAATGAAGGCCCCGTGCCAGACACTCCCAGGCGTACCCCCTTGCTGTCTCCAAAGAATAAGAAGAGTCGACTGCAGTATGCCAAAAGCCATGTGGACAAACCACAAAAACAGTTGTGGGATAGTTGTTCTTTGGACTGAAGGAAACAAAATGTTGAACTGTTTGGGCCCATGAAAATTCAACGCTATGTTTGGAGGAGTTCAGAGAAGAACAAGGCCTATGATGAAAAGAACACCTTGCCTACTGTGAAGCATGGTGGAGGGTCAATCATGCTTTGGGGCTGCTTTGCTTCTGCAGGTACAGGGAAGCTTCAGCGTGTGCAAGGTACCATGAATCTCTTCGTACCAGGAGATATTGGATGGAAACGTGATGCAGTCCGTCACACACCTGAGGCTTGGAAGACGTTGGACCTTTTACAACAGTGACAATGATCCAAGCATACCTCCGCAAGTCCACTAGAGCATGTTGCAGAGGAAAGGCTGGAACATTTTGGAGTGGCCATCGCAGTCACCAGACTTAAATCCGATTGAGAACCTCTGGTGGGACTTAAAGAAAGCAGTTGCAGTTTGCGCAAGCCTAAGAATTTTCATGTGACTGAACTGGAGGCCTTTGCCCATGCCATGAACTGTGAAGACAGTGAAGCATGGTTGCGCAACATCATGATAAACATGGGAGTTACCCATAGATCGCTGCAAGACACTTGTGTCAAGCTATTTTCGCATTAAAAGGTTATAACTGTAAAAGGATGCTGTACATCAGTACTAAGATTGAATGTCACTGG